CAGTAGAGTAACTGGACCACAGAAGCCTCGATCCCTTAGTGATTGAAATAAGAAAACTCTAACATATTTTCCACTCAGGTACTATCATAAAAGTACTTACTTACCCTGAAACCTACAGCATCCCTTTTCAGCAGGAAGTAGCTAAGAGAATACGCTATCCCCTTTTCCTTATAGAATCAGGGTGAAATCTCTCTCAAGGAGGAGTAATAGGGAATGGCAAAGGACACACTAACAAAGGAGATTAATCAGAACTGGTTTTGAGAAGCACTGTGGCAATGGAACTATTAAACAGACTTTCAAGGGGGAAAAAAGTGGAACAAACTGGGGGGGGTGGTTTAGAGAAAATAGCGCAACAATGAATGAATGGAAATCCAAAATCTCTGTAAATGTTAATTAAAATTAATAAAATTTAATAAAAAATGAAATAAAAATAAACGTAAAAAAGTACTTATTTAGCAAGTTAGATGAAGGAATATCAAACAGGTTGTAAATGGTGTCCTGGATTGGTCAGACAATCTGGGCTTCAAAACACTATGCCAAATAATAGTAATACCAAGTAATACCAAGGGGTATTAGGATAGAATTAATGTACTAGTGCATTGGCTGAGGCCAGTGTAAGAAATCTAGAGTCAGGCAGACCTAAGTAACCCCTTTTTCTTCTGACTCCCATCACTGTCAGGGACATCTCCCGAAAGCTGAGGAACAATGATGTCATTTTGAAGTCTGAGGTTTGCCTAATTCAGGCCATGCTCTTTTCAATCACTTGCTATGCATCAGGAAGTGGGAAAATGCATAAAGATGACAGAAGAAGAATTGATGCCTTTGATTTGTGGTGCTAGAGGTTAGTTTTGAATATCTTATGGATTACCAAAAGAATAAACAGACATGTCTTGGTTCAGTGCAGCCAGAGTGCTCCTGGAAGGCAAGATGGCAAAGCTTTGTCTATAAATTTATACTTCAGATAAGTCATTAGTCTAGGCTATTCATTGGAGAGGGATATGATGCTTGGAAGGATGGGGAGTCGGCAAAGGAGAGGAAGACCCCCAATGAGATGGATTGACATGGTGACTTCATCAATAGGGTTGCATGTTTCAGAGATGGGAGGATGGCACAGGAGTGCAGGATTCAGATGCTGTTCCTAAGGTCATGATGCAGTTAGTGTGATGCAGTCAGTGTAAGAGATCAGAGAAGAGAGCAGTTTGGAGAGAAAGTAATTAAAAGACAAATGAAAGAGAAGCCTTGTAAATATTACCTCAGTCATCAGCATCATATCCACAAAGAAAACCACTATGACGGTATATATGTGTCTTAGTTATCCAAGAAACCTCTAATTCGGATACCCCCCCAAGTAGATGACTGTTTCTGTGGAGACCATCATGTAGTCTGGCCTTCATTTGTGTCAAGGAGTTTTGTCATCCAGGGACCTGGTTCCCAAAATACACACTGTGGTCTTTGCAATTATTTCTTTTCCTCTCTTAGCTTTATACCGTTTTTATCTCCATGAGATCAAGTAAATTATTGATCCTAGTCTCAGAGAACTCCTATTACATACGTACATGCATACATATATTATGATCATAAAGGGATTAAGGACTGGGCATTTCACCCTGAATTCTGCTTTAACTAGTTGTTTTATCAGGTAGTGGAGAATCATTATATAGCTTCAACAATATATCACTACATACACATATATTGGGTGATGCATTCAAAAAGTGATAATATGCCTACTATTATTTAATGAAAATGACACTTTTCCTCTGTGATCTTTCTCCCTGATACCCACTGTTGTTGTCAAGTGCCATCGAGTCGTGGATGACTCGTAATGACCCTATGATGAAAGATCTGAACAGTTGTATAACTTTCATCATTTCTCCACATTCATAAGAGTTTCTGGAGGCAAGCTCTTTTGAAAGTGATGCCACTCATGCTTCCAAACCTCTTTTAATCAGGGTGCTCTACCAAACACTGTCCACCATGGGTAATCATTATCACATTTGACACATCAGTGTCACTGTTTAGCATCAGAGCAATCTTGAGTTACCACTGTACAGGAGATGGGCAGACCTGTGCTATACCACTTAGAAGAGTGTTTGACCAATGGCAAGCCAACATTCCCTCCTAAGCCTCACCAGAACCAGAAAACAAACCTCTGTAGAATCCATCAGCTCCAGACAACTTGGAGGGAGGGATTGCATAATTGAAGAGTTTTACTTTTAAAGAGAAGAGTAAATGGGGGGAGGGCAGTTAGAAAAGTGCAACAATGAATGATTAGAAACCCTAAGTCTCTGTAAACTTTCATTAAAATTAATAAAAAAGAAAAAAAATGAGGGAAGTGTGCTTAAAATATAGTATGTGCTTTCAAGTTTACAAAGATTCATTGTTGTTGTTGTTGTTGTTAAGTGCCATCAAGTTGCAGGTGACTCATAGCGACCCTATGAAGGAGAGTCCTGGACACTTGGGTGCCTTTCATCCTCTCTCCAGGTTCATAGAGTTTCCAGAGGCAAGCTATTATGGAAGTGGATGCCACTCCTCCTTCCAACCTTGTTTTAATCAGGGAGCTCCACCCCACTCTCTGTCTGCACTGGGTAGCTAATCATTAATGCATTTGACACATCAGTGTCACAGTGTTCAGCCTCACAGCAACCAAAAGTGACCACATATGGCAACTTGTACACCAGGGCTATATGACCTAGAGGAATGTCTGAACAAAAACAATGAAAGACAGGCCCGAGGGCAGCAGATTAAAAGTCACCCTTTTGGGCTTGAAGCCCTGAGCTGCTGCCTTAAACCCTAGGCCAAGCCTGGCTTGGCTGGCTCCTGGAGGCAGAGTAGTTCTTCACGTCCGAAAACTGCCACAACACCCGCCCAAACAGCACCATGCTCTCTTTGCTTGCTGGGCCATATAAAGATTCATAGCTACTCTAAAGTCAAAAGATCTGAACTTGCCCTATTTTGCATCATTCTCATGACCTTCACCATGTTTGAACATATTTTTTGTAGTTATTCTATTCATCCTGGTAAGGGTCTTGTTCTCTTTCACTGACCACTTCCCACTGACCCTCTACTTTTCCCAGCCTGAAGGAGCACAGTCTACCGAATGACCTCTCAGTTGCTGCAATCTGAACCCATGAAGGGATAGGTTGAAGAGAGCTGAGAATCCTAGACCTAGAAGTAATATCATAAAGAACTGAAAATATATCCTGTTTCTTCCGTCCTCCACACACCTGTACTTGGGGTAGAAGGTGGACCTGCATCCCAAATGTACCTGTGAGCAAGAGGATAAAAGAAAATACCTGTTGGAACCTCACAGGACCCTTGGAGTGTGGATTATAGGAAATGGAAGGAAGGTGGACACAGACCAAGAAGAAAGTCCACACTAATGGTAACACTGGGTTGTAGGTCGATGGGTTCCTTCATTCACCAACTTTAACAACACTGAAGTGTTTTCTTGGAATTAATGAGCTCCAGGCCCTAGCTTAAAATCCTTTATGAGCTTGGGGACTGGAGTCTCTCTACACTCTTGAAGTCAGCCGGCTAAGCAAGTGGGATGGCTGGACAGTGTTTGGTGAAGCTCCCCGATAGCACAAGTGACATCCACTTCAATATAGCTTGCCTCTGGAAACCCTATGAACCTGGAGAAAGGACAAAAGTTATATAGGAGATGTCCAGAACTTTCGTTCATAGGGTCCCTATGAGTGGCCTGAATTCGACAGCACTTAACAATAACAACAACAAAATGTGCTACTTGCTCAAATGTGCAAAGGTACTTCTGCCTGGTAGTTGTTGTGTATTGCGGAGTCGGAACCTCCAGTGGTATTCAGAGACTATAAATCACATGAGAGGTGACTGTCTATCCATGTCCCCCAGAGCAGCTGGTGAATTTGACCTGCTCACTTTTGTGTTAGTACCACAATTCCTTACCACTGAGCCAACAAAGCTCCACAGACTCCTCTTACTGTATTCTTAGCTCTTGTAGAGCAGGTCCTCTAATTCACGGGAGTTTGATGATGAGATGTCATCTCCAATATCAGTCGCTGATTAGACCTGGATAACTTGAGATTTGTGGTGTTTCTATTGGCTGAGTTTTGGAAACAGATAGTCCTGCTTTCGTCCAAGTTAGAGGACTATCTGCTGAAATCCATTCACAGCAACATGCTTCCTATGCATTGACCAAAGTTATATTCTCAGACAACTGTGCAGACAACTATCATGCAGGCGCTCGGTTCAAATCTACCAGCAGATCTGCAGGAGTAGGATGAGCAGCCTCCACTCATGTGATTAACTGCGTCTAAAATCTGCTGGAGGGTCAGCTATCGGGTCAGTGCTGAATCAAAGGCACACAACAACAACAACAACATACCATCCAAGAAACAAATCATTCGGATCCATTTCCTTATAAGAAAGGAAAAGAAAAATGAAATTCATAAAAAGGAAATTGTAGGCTTATAAATACTGTTGGGTATAAACATTTTTATGCCAATTCTCTGAAAGCAACAGATACTAAATAGAGAAACAAAGTACACTGTCAACAGTGACTTGGGAGGGGGGATCCTGGGGACCTAAAGTGGGGTACAGAGCCTGGTCAGGATCAGGAAAGTGTTCTCCCAGGCCTTCTTCTATGTGGACACCCACCTCACCATACAGAGCCACTGACATCCTGGATGAGAGGGGATGATGCATGCGCATTCAATAAGGCATCTTTTCTGAGGACATTCCAACAGATGAAGTGAAGGAAGAATGTTACAGCCATCTACAGGCCTTACCGCAAGGCATGACTATATTCTTTGAAAAACCTGATAATTTACATGTTCTAATAAGACAACTAGATGCCTGGATCCTGAAAAGACCCTGGACCTGATTACACATTGACAGGGCCTCTCTCCCAAATTCCTGAGCAAACTATCACTCTTTCTGGGTGTCCCTGAAAGCCCCTATAAAAGGCACCTGTCTTTGTCTGCCTGCTCTCCACTCTGATCCTCTCTTCTAGGGTCACATGGCCACTACTTGAGACCAGCTTCTTTCTTTGTCTCTTCTTGCTCCCAACACTTATTTCTATCCAACAAGAAGTATGTAGGTTCATGTGTGGTGACAGGGATGTTCACTCCAACCACTGCCTGGTACCTGTTATGAGGGTTGTAAAGGTCGACAAGCGCCCCTGTAGAGGCGACAGTCCAGTGAAATTCGTCACAGCTGACAAAGTTCTATAGGGTAAATCAGGCATCAGTACAGGGAATGTGAATAATATGGGATGCCAGAGCCTGAGTGTAGGAGGAAGGAGACTCATGTAGTGGGAGATCTAATATGCCGAGATTAGTCAAATAAAGACAAATTTCCTGCTAATTTGGAAGCAGGAGAAGCATCCACTTCCCAAACACTGAAATTCTATGAACTTTGATAAATGTTGATAGTTATGGAGGAGCTTCAGGCCTTTTGTTCATAGGGTTGCTATGATTCCTGCTCGACTGGAACGCAATCAATGACAACAACAATGAAAGCCAGATTTATCAAAAATTAGATGCAGGTAATGATAATGATGTCATTGATATTAGTTCTGTTTAGACCACAGCTCTCAGTCATAATGACAAGTTTGTTTCTCCCAACATCCATAGGCTGGATGCTCAGGGTCACATGATAATGCTTTCCAGGCCAACATCTAAGTGTGTTTTTTCCAAGAAGTGAATCTGTATAATTGGTAGTGTATTTCCCTTCTCTTCTAGAAGAAGTTGCTTTAGTGAACACAGTTTGGAAACTTTGTACCTAAGAACCACAATTGTTTCCAAATCTAAAACTTTACTTCTTGGGATATATGACAACTTATAGAAAGATTGGCCAGCAATAAAAGGTCCTTTTCTTTGTGTAGCTGTCTCATATAGATCTAGGCCACATGGACTAATTAAAGAAAGGGGCAGGCAGTAGACAAATCCACTGAAAATACCCAACCCAGCTTTATTTGGGTGCAGATCATGGATCTGTTATGTTCACCCCTGTGTTGTCATTTAGTAGAGTTCAGTGTGTATTTGCTGGTTTATTGGTGGCAAAAGTTGTGTTTCATTGTCCTACTGTACAAAGGTAGTCTTTCTAGCCCAAAAGACTGACATAGCATGTGGAAGGTCGTGTTGGTTCTGACTCTACTTCAATGAGTTGAGTTATCATCCAGTATTATTAGCCTATAGGCCACTAGTGACAAAGAAAGAGAAGCTCAAAGGGATTCAGCCTAATGAGTCACAAAGTGGCCAATGATCTCAGAGTTTATGACTGCTAGTGGGCTGGACGTGGCACTGGAAGGAGATTGAGTTAGTTCTGCCCAGTAAGAATTGTAGCCCAGCTTTCTGGAGCATCATTGTACCAAGTCTGTCCTCTCAGGGCCCTGCCTGGTGTCAGCTCCTCCAAGATCCTTCTCTGCCATAGTGACCAAGGCTAGCTGCTCTGTTGTAAGCCCTACTGGAACAACACATATCACTGGAATTTCTAGGATATGGGAGAGATGGAAAGGGTTCTATCTCAGAACAGCGTGGGCTGGAAGAGAAAGGATCTGCTGGACTTTGAGAAGTCTCAGTAATAAACAGACATGAAAGAGAAAGAGTAGCCAGGAGATTAGATGCTGAACTAGGCCCTGAGTTCAGAACAAGGCATGGAGCAAAGGAAGGATATGTCCTCCAGTTCCTCACCCTTCAAAGCTGGGAGTGTTCTTGATTGTAAGGCAGAAATGTTCCATTCTTTTTCTTCCCAGAGCCTTAGGATGGGCCAGCTTGTCTTCCTGAACCCAGTGGGCCTCCCTTGCTCTCTTCCACATAGCACAGGAAGCAGAGCTGAACAGTTCATCTGCGCATAGAACCTGGGAGGCTTATGTCTCCCATTGAGGGTGTTCTGCCTTAGCCCTGCAGAAGGGCAAGCCCGAGAGATACGACAGATAAGAAAGAGCTGGTTGACTCATTGCATTGAGTTGTGGATGTAGAGTAGGGAAAAGAACATAATTCAGAACATGATTATGTTCTAGGCCTGCCTCAATGAGGATTAAAAGCCCAACAAAGCAAAAAAGAAAAAAGGACAGAATCTCATTGCCTTCAAGAAAGAACTCATCCATGCCTGATCCTGCCCTGGGTTTCCAGAGGGTATAAATTGCACAATAGGTGATTTTTTATCTTTCTTCCTTGGGGTATTTGGTGGATTCGAGCCGCCTACATTTGGTTTGGCAGTGCAACTCCTTACCCACTAAGTCTCCAGAGCTCTCTCATCTAGAATTGTCATCTGCTAAAAAGCTAAGTGAATAATGAAGACACAATCATTTCCTTGCAGTTAAGACACATTTATTAAGGTTGTTGACATTAAGAGAAGATGATCAAGCATAGAGGGGCTCAGGATGATTCTTCCAGGTGGAGACCTTTTATTGTTTCTTTTATCCAGGGTAAGAAACTGGAGATTTTGGTGAAGATACATAGGGAAGTTCGGTATTTACTTTCAGAGGTACAAATGCCCTGGGCCACATTTCTGCATACCAAGGGACCTCCAGAGTCTCCCTGGAAACACAGAGAGGAAAGGCTGAGTTAATTGTTCTGTTGATTCTGCCTCCCTCAGCACTCTGGGACAAAACTGCCCCAAAGTGGTAAAAAATGGGGGTTATTGCCTTTCTGGGGACCCCCAGGATGCCAAATCTGATGTTTGACATCATTGTTGTTTCATGCCTAGGTTGTGATCTATCTCCTTCCCTAATGTCAGGACTCTTGCCTTCTAAGGAACTGTGGAACTTTCTTCCAGGTTATTCTTTAAGGAAAGGCAGATGGTTGATGGAAGACAGTACATTGACCAGGGTGATGACAGCTCTTGAGTATTTACATGGCTTTGATTATTCAATGTGGAGGGTGAGCTTTTCCTTGTATGTGTGCTCTAGGAGGGCGGGGTAATCTTTTCTACTTCCCCCATATTAAATTTAAAAAAAAAAATTCAAACCAATTCTTAACATCTCAGTTCATAGTAATCCTAAATGTTATAGAGTCCTACTGCTCATTGGATTTTCTTTTCTATAAAGTTTATGCAACATCTTTGAGAAGGTTCAAACCACAAATCTTTAACATAGATCCTGAAGGGAAACTCTTTGTGCCTTAGGGATGTTTGAGGTGGCATGTTACTGTTGTTTTGCTGTCAAATGTGAACTGACCCATAACTGATCCTCCAATAAGGTTTTAGATATGATGAATTGTACAGGAGGAGACTGCCCATCTTTCTCCTGAGGAGCACCTTTGGGATTACAGTGACTCTTCTTATCTCTAGGCTACCTATCCCTTTCGGATGGAATAAGGAGTCACAAGTTCAGCTTTCTGGATGAACACGTTTCTGACTTACTCCTGGGAAGCTCACAGAGGCCTGAGTGCCTAGGTGGTTTTGTTATCTCAGAAAAGTGGGTGAAGGCATTCCCCCTATTGTTAGATCTTTACATCCCAGATTGTCCTGAAATATCCTGCTCTCCAGAGCAAGGCCAGGGTAATGCTAAATCTCACCAAAGAGGGACACATCTGTTTCTGAGGGTCCCCTGCACACAACTCAGTGGTCTTGTCATAATCCAGCACATGGCGCTCACACTGGAAGTCCCCCTGAATGATAAGAACCAACTCATGCAGCTTGCTTGTTGTTTCATTCTCAGAGATCCTGCCCCAGCCAGCCACACTGCACATCTGCCCAGGCCTCACGTGGTCACTTTCTCCAGGCAGGGAGAGCAGGCCCACAGCTGCAGTCAGTTGGGCCTTTGTGTTCATCTGATGAAGGAAACAATAAAGATTTGGTCATTGAGAGCCTGCTGCCCTGCAGAGCCTGATGGGCCGCACTTTACTCCTTCTTCCTCCAGGGCCTGGAGTTAGTGAAGCAGCCATGATAAGAAGGCAAGGGTCATGGTGAAAGGAGAAAGTTCTTGAACCCAAGGGAGCAGGAGCAGCAGGGAGAGTGTCTCACCTGTAGTATCATGATGTCATTTTTAAGAGACACATTGTTATACTTTGGGTGGGGGATGGCTTTGTTCACAGGAATTTCCTGCTGTGTCTTTTCTTGTAACCCAATATCATGGGCCCCCAAGATGACACTCATGGGGCTGTACAGAGAGAAAAGAAGAGATTCTCAGAACTGGAGCCCTAAAGCAGGTGACAGTTGGGGAGGGTAGGGCGGCTGCTGAGGGAAATGCTGGAGGGAGGGGCCCTTCATCTTGAATTTCAGAGCCTTTAGTTTCTCTGTAGCATTGTAGGTGGTTGTGGAATTCTCTTTTACCCTCAGGTCGTAGGAAATGGCTTGACCATATCTGCTCTCAACCTCCACTGTCTGCCTGAAATAGCCAGTGCAGTCCTTTCTTAACCTTTTCTACGTGCCCCATTCTCTGGCCTAATGGGTTACCTGTTGGCTCACTTTCCACCACCTCATCCCACTCTCAAAATCTTCTGAAGATGAGAACTCTAGGGCCTGAGTTACACCCAGATGAAGTAGCGCCCCCGTGTGGCAGGAATGTGAAGATTCCTTGGAGGTTCTACCCCTCACCTTCCCCAGCAGTGAGCTGCTGTCAGGACAATATCTTCTTCCACAAGGAAACCACTACACCTTTTCCACATGCCATCACGTCGTAATACAACAAACGCCATGTATGGACGTGAATGAGGCTGTGCTTCATGACCTCCAATGATCTCCTCTGGGGGTAAAAAAAAAAATAAATGGAAGATGGGAGGAGTGGGCATCCTACCTGATGAGTGAAGACAGCATCAGCTTTGCCCTGTAGTTGTTGGGACAGGTTGTCCTGAACTTTCCCGAAAGCAATCCTTATTGGCTTGATAACATCTCCTTCCCTTCAAGTCTCAATGGGCCCTTCTAAAATCTGATAGTGCTTTTTCTGGACATTTCATATTTGACACATGGATGGTGGGTACACAGCTTGTCTTCAAATTACCAGAACCCAAGGAATGAAGGAGAAGAATCTCTGCTTTTCTATTCACCCCAGGTCAGCTCCTTCAGGACTGAGTGACTCCCAAGGTTGGTTATTCCAGTCCTGTTATTCCAGTAAAGAAAATGAAGACATCCCCTATTTCTAGCAATAATCTTCAGATCCCAGAGATTCCTGCAACGTCCTTGTCCCCAGAGCCAGGCCAGGCTAGTGTTAAATGTCACCTTAAAGGCAGCCATCTTTTTCTTCAGGTTCACCATGCGCAACTGAAAGGCATTGTTATAATTCTTGAGTCAGGGTAGGGCTGGTGCTGAGGGGAAATGCTGCAAGGAGGGTCCTTGAACTTGAGCCTTTGACTTCTCAAGAAGAGCATTGAAGGTAAGCAGTGTGGGATTCCCGTTAACCCTCAGTTCATATGAAATGATCCATACCTGCTGTCAACCTCCACTGTCTGCCTAAAACATCCAGTGAGGTACCTCTCTGATCTTTCCCACAGCTGCAGGATCTCCCCTGAGGAGCAAATATTGAAATAGAAGTCCTTGTAAATCTGCCCCTCATCATCCCCTGAAGTGAACGGCTACTGTCAGGACAAAGTCTTCTCACACAAGGATATCACCACAACTCTTCACTTCCCACTGAAACTAAAAAATGCCATGTATGACATGAATAGGGCTTTGCTATATGGCCTCCAATGATCTCCCTTTAAAAAAAACATGGATTATTAAATGACTGAGGCATCCTACTTGACGATTGATGAAAGGGTCAGCATTTCCCTGGGGATGCTGGGACAGATAATCCATGGTTCTCCTGAAAGATGGGTTTCTCCCACAGTGATTCATTTATATAGTCAAATCTCTAATAGTCCCTCTTAAAAGCTGACAGTGCTTGTTCCAGCCCACATCAGGCACATGGATAGAGTGTTGCATGTGTTATCTTTAAGATGACAGAGTCATCTTAAAGTATCCTGCGTAAGAATCCTTGGACTATTTTTTGTTTGTTTGTTTCCTGACTTGTCTGAGCCTCTGCTAAGTTTGTGGTATTTTCTAATAATATACCCCTATGCACAGCAGCTCTGAATGCTTCCCTGTCCTGAGGCAGTCTTACTAATTCCGACACACAAACCCCCATTGCCCCAGTTACTGTATCAATCCATCTCATCCTGTGTCTCCTCACCAGTGCTGTCCATCCACCCTTCTGAGCATGATGTCCTTCTCCAAGGAACTGGCCACGTGCCCAAAGTATGTGAGTTGGAACTTCAACATCCTAGCCTCCAAGGAGATACTTGGTTTCACCCTCTCCCAGATGGACCTATTGTTTTCTTGGCAGTCTGTGGTATGTTCAAGACTCTTCCGCAGCACTACAATTTGAAGGCATCTATTCTTCCTCTGCCATCCATAGTCATGTCCAGCTCTCAGAAGTATAACAAGTAATTGAGAAGACCATGGCCTGGATTTGGTGCAACCTTGTATCTAGACTGATATCACTGCTCTTCTGCACTCTGGAGAGGTCCATGACAGCAGATATTCTGATGCAATTTGTCTTTTGATTTCCTGACTGCTGGTGTTAAGAAGGTTGATTGTGAATCTAAACAAGCTGTAATTGCTAACAAACTCCATCTCTTCTCCATCTAATATGATGCTGCCAATTCACCCAGTGGTGAGAATCTCTGTTTTCTTGATGTTGAACTTCAAGCCATATTGAAGACTACAGTCCTTGACTTTTGCAACAAGTGCTTCAGGTCTACTTCAGTTTCAGCAAGCAAGATTGTGTCATCTGCTTAATGTAGGTTGTTAATGAGTCTTCTTCCAATCTTGATGCATCATAAGGCAAAATTCCCAATCACCACACCAGTAATCAACATTGATAGATGGAGAAAAATTGACTTTGTTAATTAATTCATCTTACTTGGATAACAATTAACACCCTTGGTTCCAGAAATCTGGTGATCAGAAGACAAATTACATTGGACAAGCTGGCTGTCAGAGATCTCATTAAATTTCTACTGAGCAATGACATAAGTTTGAAGAATAAGATGGGCCTGATTCAGGCCATGGTCTTTCAGATCACTTGCTATGCATCTGACAACTGGACAAACTATAAGGATGAAAGAAGAACAATTAATGCCTTTGAGCTGTGATGTTGGAGACGAGTGTTGAATGTTTGGGCTGCCAAAAGATTGAACACATATGTGTTGGATAAAGTGCTGATATAGTGATCTTTAGAAGCAAAGGAACAAAGCTTCATCTCACATACTTTGGGCATGTTGCAAGGAAAGCCTATTTCAAGGAGAGGGACCTCATACTTAGAAAGGTAGAGGGTCAGCAAAGGAGAGAAAGACCTTCAACGAGGTGGATTTGTGTGAGTGTGGCAATGGGCCCAAGTGTATCACAGATTATGTTGATGGCACAGGATAGGTAAGGGTTCAGAACCATTATACATAGGGTTGCTATGAATGAAATTGAACTTGGAGGCACCTAACGACAGCACTGTAATAAAATCAACTGCCTAACTATGCACATCTCTAGATCCACAGAGTGAAAGGAGTTGTGCTGCTAACCCTGACACTCGCATACCTGGCCTTTTAAATCCATCCGAGTCCCTTTGGGAGAAAGATAGGGTGATCTTTTTCATGCAATTTACAGCACTGAAAACTCTCTGGGGGATCAGGTAGGAGTTGGTTTCAACTCCATAGCAAACACTTCGGTTTTGACTCTAATAATAATCTTAAGCATGACAGCAATTTTTGTAAGGATATCGTAGGACCTGGAGGTGTTTGCTTTTATTGTACATTGCACAACAAGCTCATCTATACCTAAAACAACAGCAATACCCCAATTCTTAGTGTTTTAGTTTCATTTTCCTAGTATAGGGGAGTGGGTATGCAGTTGGCCTCTCAACACAGATACCCTCCATTTGAACCTTCCAGCTGCTCCAAAGAAGAAAGATGGGAAACTCCTGTGTAATTTATAGCCTCTGAAAACCTGGTGGAGGGTAAATCATGAATTGGTTCTGACTTATTAGCAATGAATTGTTGTTTAGCTTCTTGGCATGCAAGTAGGGATTTCAGTTACTTACCTTCATATCTTCTGTCAAATGTCTTTGTAAGAATCTTCTGCTTCCCAGGTAATCATGAGAACCTAGGGGGAAGCTACCACCGAGTAAGCCTTTAAGTGGTTGCTATGCTTTTGTGATTTCACCTAAACTGGGGAAATTTGACAAAAAGCCAGGATAGTCTAACACCTACGACCATGTCCAGGGTGTCTAGTCATCCTTTCGGAACATCTATCTGAGACTGCTTAGCCTGGGTTTGATATGAAACTGGTATTTATAAAGATTCTGGATTACATGGAAGGAATTCCTTACTAGCACTGGACAGAAGGGCAAGGAATACAAGTGATTTAGGGAAATAGGTTGATGTTCCTAGAATGCAGAGGGTCACTCACCTGCTATAGCTCCAGGAAGCAGGTGAAAAGCCAGCAGAAGCAGGAGTGGCTGCATCATCTGTGGAAGGCTACCCAGGCTAAAGCTGAGGGTGTCTAGACCCCAAATAACCGCAGTGCAGTGAAGAGGGCCAGACCCAGTGACTTTATATCATACACGTACATCTGTGATAGGTTTGTTTGGTTGGGTGTCATCACGCATGTTGGTCTGCAGAATTTTTCTGGTTAAATTAGATGAGAACAACACTGTCACCACATTTTTATTCATATCTGCTGAGTCCCAAGCAGAAAACACAAATAAAGAACAAGAAGGTGAAGGTTGTTGAGACTGTGCCAACATTTATTAGAGTTGCGATGATAGGAGCCTGGACCCCTTAATGATCCAACTAAGAATGTTCTTCTCCTCTGGCTCTTTATTTTAATAATAAAAATTTTTATACATTGTTTTTCACACTGGATTTTTCTCATTTCCTTTACCCATCCCTCCTACTACTCATCAAATTTTGTGACCCTATGAAGTGTGGTATTGAATATTCTGTAGAATGCTAGGAGAACAAACAGGTTCATCCTAGAGAAGGCGTGACCAAGCTGCTCCTTGGAGGCAAGGATTCTGAAGCTTCATCTGACGTACTTTGGACATTTTCCAAGGAGGGATCAGTTTTTGAAGTGGGTTGTCACGCTTGGAAGGGTGGAGGGACAGTGCAGGAGAGGAAGACCCTCGATGAGATAGATTGATTCAGTGACTGGGGTATTGGGGATGGATGTGCCAGAAACAATAATATTGGCACAGGATAAATTTGGGTTTAGGGTTGTTGTACCTAAGTTTGCTATGAGTTGCAGGTGACTCGATGGCACATAACAACAACACTAGCAGCAACATAATTACTGCCCTCCCTCCCTTAGATCCTCATTCACATTTCACTAGTTATCTTTCTATTTCTACAATAATGATCTTATGTAGTATCTGTCCTTATGGGACTAAGTTAATTTAGCAGAATTCTCTCTAGTCCCTCCCAAGTTAGGTAATAATTTATAAACTTATTGCACTTGAATGCTGTATAGTATTCCATTGTGTGAATGTACCATAATTTCTCAACCCATTTGTTCATTGTTGGACATTTGGGCTGTTTCCATGTTCTTGGGATGTTGAATAATGCTGCTATGAATATTGGTGTACAAATCTGTTTGTGCCTCAGTTCTCATATTCTCAGGTTATCTTCCAAGTGATGGAATTGCGGGGTCATATGGAATTTCTCTGTTCAGTTTTTGAGGAATCGCCAAACTACCTTTCAGTATGGTTGCACCATTTTACAATCCCACCAACAATGTGTAAGAATTCCTTTCTTGCCACATCGCCTCCAACATCTATTACTTACTGCCCTGTTAAATTTTGCCACTGTTATGGGAGTGAGATCATACCTCCTTGTTTTGATTTGCATTTCTCTTCTTAGCAGTGATTTGTAACATTTCTTCATGTGTTTGATTGCAATTCAAATTTCTTCCTCTGTGAAAAGTCTTTTGCTCATTTTGAAACTGGGTTATCAGTCTTTTTCTTATGGAGACCCAAGGGTATTCTGTAAACTTAAGACTCTTGTCTGAGATGATATTACCAAATGTTTGTTCCCTCTCTTTAGGTTTCTTTTCACCCTGTTGGAAAATGTGTTTGGTTTTTTTTTTGTTGTTGTTGTTTTTTATGCAGTTGTTGTTGTTACGTGCCGTCAAGTCGTTTGCGACTCATAGCGACCCTATGTACAACAGCCCTAAACCCTGCTCTATCCTGTGCCAATCGCATTGCTTCTGACACACCCATCCCGATTACCCCAGTCACTGAATCAATCCACCTCATAGAGGGTCTTCCCCTCCTGCGCTGTCTCTCTACTCTACCCAGCATGATGTCCCTCTCTAAAGGCCTGTCTCTCCTTACAACATGTCCAAAGTATGTCAGACGAAGCCCCAGAATCCTTGCCTCCAAGGAGTAGCCTGGTTTAATCCTCTCTACGATGAATCTGTTTGTTTTCTTGGCAGTCCATGGTACATTCAATACTCTTCTCCAGCACCACAGCTCAAAGGCGTCAATTCTCCTTCTATCCTCCCTAGTCATTGTCCAACTCTCTGATGCATAACAAGTGATTGCAAAAACCATGGCCTGTATCAGGCGGACCTTAGTCTCCAGAGAGACACCGTTGCTCTTGAGTACTTTAGAGAGGTCCCTAACCACAGACTTTCCCATCGCAATATGATTTTTTATTTCCTGGCTACTGGTGCCAAGAGTGTTGACCATGGAGCTGAGCAAACTGAAGCTGTGAACAATCTCAATCTCTTTGCCATCCATCCTGATGCTACCGATTGTTTTTTATGTGCACGGGGATTTAATCTTTAGAAGGTCTCATGCATCAATTTTATCCTCGTTAGATTGTGCATTTTCCTCTACAACATGTATTGCTTGCTGCAATGCTAAATTTTGCCCTTTCTAATGGGGTATGATGGTCTCTCATTGTGGTATTGATTTGCATCTCTCTTATTGCCAGTGATTTTCAGCATTTCTCTATGTGTCTGTTGGCCACCTGAATATCTTCCTCTGTGAAAATTCTTTCCACGTCTTTTGCCCATTTTATAATTGTGTTATCCATTTTTTTTTCTTGTGTTGCCCCTGCAGGATTCTGTAAACTTTTTATATGAAACCCCAGTCTATTTTCAAATGTTTTGTCAAATGTTTTGATGGTTTCTTTCCCCAGTCAGTACTTCGTCTTTTTACTCTGTTGACAAAAGGTTTTCATGGGCACAGGGATTTAACCTTAAGAAAATCCTGCTCATCCATTTTATTCTCTCCAGATTATTCATTTCTGATTGTACTTGGCAGTTTTTTATACCATAGTCTATGCCGTCTAAGCTTAGTCCCAGTTTGTCTCTGATGAACTTTATGGTTTGGGGCTTTACTCCCAGTTCTCTGATCCACCTTGAGTTGATTTTGTGTGTGGTGTGAGATGTGGATCTTGTTTCAGTTTTCTGCAGGTAGCAGTCTGGTTTTGGTAGCACCATTTCTTAAAGAGGTTTTCATTTTCCCATTTGATATGTTTTATTTCATTTTTTAATATCAGTTGCTCCGAGATAGATGGGTCCACTTCTGAGTTCTCTATTCTGTCCCATTGTTCTATGTGCCTTTTATTGTACCAGTACTATGCAGTTTTGGTTACTACCACTGTACAGTAGGTTTTGAAGCCTGGGAGTTCTTTGCCACCTACTTCATTTTTGTTTTTCAGAAGTGCTTTGCTTACTTCAGGTCTCTTTCCTTTCCAAGAAAACAGCTGCATTACCACCACTTAAAAGCTTAGTGGGTTTTAGCCTCCACCCTAGCTTCTCCTTACCAACTGGCAAGCAGATTATTCTTACAAAGACCATTAGCAGAAGATGTGAAAGTAAGTTTTTAAATCCCCTTATCTCATGCCAAGAAGCAAAACAAGAATTTCTATGAGTAAGAACATATTCATATTGGAAACTCAAGCAGGTTTCAGTATTACACTGCTCTCCCACAAGGATGCATTACTTACTTTACATTCATTTTGACACTTATTGCCAAGCTGCATCGTACAGGATGTTAACACCTCTGTAAGCTGAAAGGACTGTTTACATACAAAGAGGCCTTGTCCTAATCAAGCTCTGTATCCCTTTCTAGATCCCCACAGCTCCTCGGCCTCACAACAACTTGTTTGTAGTGTGCTTTGTTTAATTAATTAAAGAACTTTTAAGAGAATTAACATAAAATATTTTAGACAAAAATGTACTCAACTGTACAACTGTATTTTAATTTTTATATGGAGAGGGAACAAAAAATTTTTTTTATGAAATGGTATAGGAACAGTAAACTTTAGTTCAGTGGAAGGATGAAAGCAGAGAGCAAAGATGGCCTGAGTATAGGGGATTTCAGGCCAGTAGCACAGTGTTGAAATAGAGTGTCTCATTTTCAGGCCATTGAGATCCATTATCTAACCGATATTGTGGTCATAGTGTATTACAAAAGAATTCAAGTCTTCTGGGCTTAGTGATGTCTTTCAATAAAGGTAATAAAGAGAGCTTATGGGACATCCCAGTGGAGTGTCAGGAGAAGGGCAAGACTGGCTGGCTCCCCTGATTGGGGAAGAGATAGGCAGTGTGGGTTCCCAGAGAGAGAGAGGGAAAGAGACTAAAAGGCAACAAGGCATCACTTATTTAATTTTGTCCTAACGGGGAAAAGATCTACTATCACCATGGGCATCCCCCAAAACAGCAGAGACTGGCATAAGTGGCTGATGGATGTCCTCTTCGGGCCCCAGAACTTTTTAACATCCAAAGAGAGCAAAACATCTGAGAGAGGAGAACCACCACCAATTACCCAAAATTGGTCTGGTGGTGTTGGAAAGGCCAACAATGGCAAGAGGCAGAAAGTCTTGGAGAAGGGTGTCCTCTTGGCAGTTCAAAATATAGCTCCTAATTTCATAACTTTTGAGCCTGTACTGGCTCATAAGACATCTTCTAGCAAGTTTTCAGAGGCTATAAACTGCACAGATGATTTTCCATCCTCTCCCTCAGAGAAGCTAGTGGATTCACAGCTCCTACCTTGAGGCCTTGAACACTAATGAGCAAAGACCAGATGAGTTGTGGGAGGATATCAAGGGTATCATCCAGGAAGAGTGCAATGGTCATTGCAAAGACAGAAGAGGAAGAAAAGATCAAAATGGATGTCAGAAGAGACTGAAAATTGCACCAGAGTGCAGGGAAGCCAAAGCACAAGGAAGAATTCAAGATACTAAAGAGTTGAATAGAAGATTTCAAAAGGCAGCACAGGACAACAAAGCAAAATATTACAATGAAATGTTCAAGGAGTTGGAGTCAGAAAATCAAAAGGGCTGAACTCGCTCAGCATTTCTTAAGCTCAAGGAACTGAAGAACAAATTCAAACCTCGAGTT